GACGGCTAATAAGCCAGAAATGGCCATTCCAGTCTCCCTTGTCTTTGTCGGTAATGTTATTCTGCCTATGTATCATGCGCCGCTGTGCGGCTGCTGGTTGGGCTCGAGAGAGAGCTCTTAAGGCACAACGGAACGAGTGAGTTCCGTATGAACGATCGGTGAGCGCCCCCTACCACTGTATATTCCCGATCGAAAACCGACAAGGCAACGGGCTCGTGGCCCGGTGAGTAGAGGCGTTGACTTCTAAACCAACAGGTCGCGAGTTCGAGGCTCGGGTGTTCCACACTTCGGGCTTGGGTATGGCTGGCTGACGACGGCTAATAAGCCAGAAATGGCCATTCCAGTCTCCCTTGTCTTTGTCGGTAATACTATTCTGCCTATATATATATATATATATATATATATATATATATGAAGAATAACTGAAGTAGTATGCATTCCGAGATGATATGGTGAAAGAAGGAAGTCCGTCGGAAATAGAGTTTTACTCGTAAATTTTCGAGCTGGTTGCACCGACCCGTCGTCAGACAAAGTGAAAAGTGAGAGGTGGCATTGTCACACTGCTGGTTGAGGACGCAGACAGAGACGTGAGCAGACGACCTTGTGAGGGGGAGGTGTGCATTGTGTTGTGATGGGTGCGGGAGGTGCGGATAGGTGTTGTGAGTCCAAGCTGTGGCTCACCGTGTTGGGTGGTGCTACTGTCATTATGGACAAGACTGACTATGGCAATAAGGCCAACCAGGCCTTTAATGACAGAGAGGACTATACCCCAATTGCTGAGGATCCGACGAAAAAGCAGGGCGCATCTATAAAGAAGAAGGTGAACGAGCTCACTCGTAAAAAGCTCATAAACCCCACGGACTCCAAATTTCTGACTCCCAACGACACCCGTATTGCACGTGCTTATGGCCTCCCAAAGGGGCACAAAGCGGGTGCCCGTTGAGGATCATAGTGCCGCTCATTGGATCGCCTACATATAACCTTGCCAAGTGGCTGTACAAGCACCTAAAGCACCTCACGAATGTATGGCAGTACAGCATCAACAACTCTCATGCTTTTTTTCAGAGGATCCAAGGCCTTAATGTAAGCCCTGCTGAATGCATTTTATCGTTTGATGTATTTGCTCTATTTTCCTCAATACCGCATAACTTGGCCATTGAGAGCGTAGCTCGACGCCTAGAGGAAACTCCGATTGGCATTCCAACAGAGCACCTTTTAGACATGCTTGGGCTTTGTCTTAAGAACTATTGTCAATTCGATGGCAGGTATTATCAGCAGGTCAAGGACACCCCCATGGGTTCACCGATATCGGGCCTACTCGCCGAACTAGTCTTACAAAAACTAGAAGAAGTTGTTATTCAAGTCATCAGACCAAAAATGTGGCTCCGCTACGTAGATGATACCTTCGTAGTAACAAAAAACTGCGAAGTTGAACGACTGCACCAGAGTCTTAACGGTGTTTTCTCCGCCATACAATCCACACGCGAAGAAGCAACAGGGGACATCCTCCCTTTTCTTGACGTCAGTGTACAAAGACTGACTGATGGCAATCTCGCAACCAGCGTCCACAGAAAAGACTTCAGTGCCGAAATCATCCTCAACTACGGGAGTAATCATCGTGCGGCCCACAAAAAAAGCTGCGTTCGAACTCTTTTTCACCGAGCCTTTCGGTACTGTAGCAGCCAGTATCTACTTAAGAGAGAGCTAGCCTACTTATACGAATTATTCCGATCTAACGGATATCCGATTAGTTTCGTGAAAAACAGTCTCAGACGTCAGAGGCAACCCCGAGATCAGAGTCCAAGTGGAGAAGCGACACAGAGGAAATATTATTCCCTGCCCTACATGCGAGGAATTTCTGAAATGATGGCCCGACAACTAAGCCGGTTTGGCATCTGCATTGCCCACAAGCCGGCGTCCTCCTTACGCGCAGCACTATCCCGGGCAAAGGATCCCATACCCAAAGAACAACAAAGTAACGTCATTTACCGCATCCCGTGCGCTAACTGCCGTTGCGTTTATATTGGTCACACGGGTCGACAACTTGGGACTCGCATTAATGAACACAAGTTAGCTATCCGCCGACGCGACCCCTTATCTCTCGTGTTTGCCCACGCTCTTGATTGTGACCACCGTTTCAATTGGGACGGTGCCGAAGTGGTCGCCATGGCTAACACTAAACATGCACGGAAATTCCTCGAAGCTTGGCACTCCGGTGCAGGTAGCATTAACCGCCATGTTGACCTTGATGTCCACTACGAGGGTCTCCGATCACGGTGGACTGACTGGCGTCCACCTTAAGAACAACAACAGCTAATGCGTGCCCGGACATGCATGATCTCGCCGACACGCCATTCCTACCACCCTGCCCTACTCCCCCTCCCTCCCCCAACACGGTGAGCCACAGCTTGGACTCACAACACCTATCCTCACCTCCCGCACCCATCACAACACAATGCACACCTCCCCCTCACAAGGTCGTCTGCTCACGTCTCTGTCTGCGTCCTCAACCAGCAGTGTGACAATGCCACCTCTCACTTTTCACTTTGTCTGACGACGGGTCGGTGCAACCAGCTCGAAAATTTACGAGTAAATCTCTATTTCCGACGGACTTCCTTCTTTCATCATATCATCTCGGAATGCATACTACTTCAGTTATTCAACATATATATACAGTAGATGTGCTAACTCATGAAATGTCAACTAAAATTTCGAAATGCGTTCTCGTTTCGAAAAGATAAACTAAGTAGTGTTGTAAAACTGAGCATGATGCAGCATAATTCTATAATGATCCAGTTACCTCAGCGTGTCCGCTTTCGAATGAACTTATTTTAGGCTGCATGCAAGATCTACGCTATGCAAAAATGACTACTTAAGTAGTATGCAATTTTCTCATTGATTTTCGATGCCCTTGAAAAGTCAATTATATTTCATGGAAAACATGCATAAAAATATTCATTTCTTTACTTATTCGGTAGAAAAGTACGTCTTCTTCCAATTTCATACTTAAAAGAAGAGTATAATTCGGTTTAAAAAAAGTTCCTTATTGTGAGTTTTTTTAATATCGTTAGATGGCCGTTCATGAAACGTCATGTATCTGCATTTACGAATGTGGCTTGTAAAGTTAGCAATATTGCTCAAATCCACTGTTTAATTTTATGAACCTCATATGGTCTCCTCTTAACACCGTAGAGAAATGCATGGTTTTCCGTACACGGAAAATATACAGCTTGTAGTTTTTAAACCCTGAATGCAAGTGTAACAGCAGGTCCGGTTCAAAATTATTCGGGAATTAGAAAAGTTTTTTATAACCAAATTATACTCTTCTTTTGAGTATGAAATTCCTAGAAGACGTGATTTTCTACCGAATAAGTAAAGAAATGAATATTTTTATGCATGTTTTCCATGAAATATAATTGACTTTTCAAGGGCATCGAAAATCAATGAGAAAATTGCACGCTACTTAAGTAGCCATTTTTTGCAGAGTATTGATCCCGCATGCAGCCGAAAATAAGTTTTTTCGGAAGCCGACACCCTAAGGTAACTGGAGCATTACAGATTTATGCTGCATCATGATTAGTTTTACAACACTACTTAATTCATCTTTTCGAAACGAGAACGCAGTTCGAAATTTTAGTTGACATTTCATGAGTTAGCACATCTACTGTATATATATATATATATATATATATATATATATATATATATTGAGAAGGTGATACCGACAAAGACAAGGGAGACCGGAATGGCCATTTCTGGCTTATTAGCCGTCATCAGCCAGTCATACCCAACCCCAAGTGTGGATCACTTGAGATTCGAACCCGGGATCTTTGGTCATGTAATTGAACGCTCTACCATTGAGCCACGGGCCCGTTGTCCTGTCGGTTGTTATCGGGAATATTAATTATGATAGTGGGCGCTCACCGATCAGGTTACGGAACATGGTCGTTCCGTTGTGCCTTGGGGCTCATACTTAAACCCTCGCAGGCAGTCGCACAGCGACTAGTGATATATGTTGAGAAGGTGATACCGACAAAGACAAGGGAGACCGGAATGGCCATTTCTGGCTTATTAGCCGTCATCAGCCAGTCATACCCAACCCTGGCTGATGACGGCTAATAAGCCAGAATTGGCCATTCCGGTCTCCCTTGTCTTTGTCGGTATCACCTTCTCAACATATATCACTAGTCGCTGTGCGACTGCCTGCGAGGGTTTAAGTATGAGCCCCAAGGCACAACGGAACGAGCATTTTCCGTAACCTGATCGGTGGGCGCCCACTATCATTATATATATATATATATATATATATATATATATATATCGCGTTCATCATCTCCCGAAGAAGACGAAGAAGAAGAGAGGGCGAATTCATGGACCATATTGTATTCGAACTGACGTTTCGGAAACTTCCTCGTCTCCATCATCAGAGTAACGTAATTATTGCACTTGCCGGTCTTGAGTTGTTCAGTCTTGCCGCCTGCCTCGTATTATAGCCGTGCTCGACGCACGAACTTTGACCTGCCTGTTTGCCGCTGACTGGCTTAGACCTCCCCGGGGCTGACCGCTGACAGGCCTGCGTGACCTTTGTTCCCTTTGGGGTGGGCGTAATTGTGGTCAAATCAACGTGCCGCTTGGCCTCTCCCACGTCAGCCGGTGGACTGATCGGTCGTTGCTGTACAGGCGAATCTTTACGCATATCGATGTATGCTATGGGCGCACAGCCCTCCGCTCAGCACGCAGATGGGAGACCTTCGCGAAGCGGGAGTCCTCCACCTACGCTCAGCTGAAATTCCTGCACAGGTGCCTTGATGAGGACGTCTTACCGAAATGCCTCAAATATAGACCGCCTGTGAACACTGACCTTTGCCGACGGACGATGGCAGACTTCAAGAAGAAGATGATCAGGGTACTGATACGAGACTGCCACGCCCGCATCCACAAGTACCGCCAGATGATTGAACATCATTCGTCAACTTGACAGTCGATCTTTACGGCACACGAGCTGGGGATCCTCAAAGCGGCAATTCTCGACAACGCACGGCGTCACCGCAAGTTGCGTGATGACCAGTTGTCTGGAAAATTTAGGCAAATAAGTCCGCCAAAGCAGCCCTCTACTGACGGTGCCTTGGTTCACAACTTGTCCTCTCATCGTTTCACTCAGCAACAACTAGTGGTTCTATCCTATGACGCGAAGTTCAGCACAAGAGATGCTCGACCAGAAGACTTTATTGCATCCTTTGAATCGGCGCTCCAGAAGTGTGAGGCAGGCGAGGAGTGCAAAAACGCTATGCGACAACAAGTGTCGACCTTACTCCTCCAACACAAACGCCAGATGACGATTTCTAAAGCAGAAGATCGAGAACTTCTGAAGATACGAAAAATAAAGGATATCGTCACCCTGCTCGCCGACAAGGGGCGCTCGACTGTCGTCATGGATAAGGCTGAGTACTGCACAAAACTAGGCAACCTCTTGATGGACAAGGAAGCTTATGTGCCATCAACCGACAGCGAGTTTAAAAAGCTCGTAAACAGCATAAACAATACGATCGGCAAGCTGAGGAAGGCGGGAGCTCTTACGAGAAGGGAGGCGTTGGCCGCAAAAGCCAGTGATACCGCGATGGCGCGCTTCTACGGCCTACCAAAGGTCCACAAGCAGGGTGTACCGCTACGCCCCATCGTCTCCTTACATGGTACTCGAACCTTTGGGCTTTCAAAGTGGCTGTACCAGTGACTTTTTTCCTTACCAAGGATTCGGAGTGGACAGTGAAGTCGGCTGAAGAGTTCTTGACGCGCATCAAACATCTCGAAGTGGAGGCAGATGAGGTGATGGTGTCATTTGACGTGATCTCATTATTCACCTCCATCCCACCCGCGCTTGCTATCGACACTATTGATAGCTTTTTCCGGGAAAAGTATGATGAGACCGTCCAACAGCTCAAACGAGCACACATCATCGAGCTCCTAGAACTGTGTCTTAAGACCTTCTTCACATTCAACGGCCAAGTCTACGAGCAAAAGAAGGGGACACCGATGGGCTCGCCTCTGTCTGGACTTATTGCCGAAGCAGTTTTGCAGAGACTCGAGCAGCAGGTCTTCAGCTCGTACCCCCCGAAGTTCTGGGCCAGATACGTCGACGACATGTTCGTTGTAATCAAGAGGAGCGAGGTGAAGGCTTTCAAGGCAATGTTGAACGCAATCTTTGCCGACATTCAGTTTACTATGGAAGAGGAAGTCGACAATCAGTTGCCCTTCCTGGACGTACAAGTTACGAGATTGACAGACGGGAAGATAAGGACAACGGTTTACCGTAAGGCAACAAATACTAGGCGTATCCTCCACTTCCGAAGCAACCACCCTGTTGGTCATAAACGCATTTGTGTCAGAACTCTCTTTCAACGTGTTCAAACACACTGTTGCGATGACAGTGGGAGGAAGGAGGAGATGAATTACTTACAAGCCCTTTTTAAAGCAAACGGCTACCCGAAGTCCTTCCTACGCAATTGCCTCAAAAAGCCTCATTTTGAGCGGTCGAGTGGAGAAAAGCCCAAGTTCTGGCTCTCAATACCCTATGTGAAGAACCTATCAGAGGCAACGGCAAGAATCCTGAAACCTTTTGGGATTGGTGTGGCTCATAAACCAGAATGCACCATCAGACAGCAAATCATGAGGCCCAAACACCCGCTACCAACAACAGAACAGTCGGCGGTGGTCTACAGCATACCATGCCTAAATTGCAATGCGATGTATGTTGGTGAAACGGGCAAACGCCTCGGTACAAGACTGCACGAACACCAACTTGCAATCAACCGCAAGGACAAGCTGTCTTTGGTCTATGACCACATACAAGAACTGAACCAGGATTTTGCCTTTGAGAAAACGAGGGTAAATGCTCGAGCCAATGAGAATATGGCCAGACTGGTGCTCAAAAGTTGGTCCTCGACTGGCACGCCCAAACGAAATATAGATCTACATCCCGCCTACCAGGCGCTGCGTACAAGGCTCGGATCAGTCCGGACAGGACCAGTAAGGCAAACGAGCACGCGGGACCGAGAGTCAACGCTCACGGAAAAGAGCGGAATTGGGGGCCAGAGGTCATGTGACCAAAGCCGAACACTGCCTCACCGATGCGCCCGCAAAGCTGAATGCTGCTCACCTGAACGGCAACGACCGATCAGTCCACCGGCTGACGTGGGAGAGGCCAAGCGGCACGTTGATTTGACCACAATTACGCCCACCCCAAAGGGAACAAAGGTCACGCAGGCCTGTCAGCGGTCAGCCCCGGGGAGGTCTAAGCCAGTCAGCGGCAAACAGGCAGGTCAAAGTTCGTGCGTCGAGCACGGCTATAATACGAGGCAGGCGGCAAGACTGAACAACTCAAGACCGGCAAGTGCAATAATTACGTTACTCTGATGATGGAGACGAGGAAGTTTCCGAAACGTCAGTTCGAATACAATATGGTCCATGAATTCGCCCTCTCTTCTTCTTCGTCTTCTTCGGGAGATGATGAACGCGATACAATATCCGGACCTTGAATCTTTACGCATATATATATATATATATGAAGAAATGGCGATCACAGGAACCATGGATTTATTTGCCTGACGTTTCGGAAGCAGACAAGCTTCAGATGCCTCTGATGATGGATTCGAGTAGGAATCCGAAACGTCAGGCTAATAAAGCCCTTGTCCACGCGATCGTGTCTCCTTCTTCAAGACAAGCTTCCGTCAGGCTTTCGAATTAGGGAAAATCACGACCTAATCACGAAAAGTGAATCACAAAATACCATAGCAGCAGAACATCGGGCACTAAAATCCCCCGAACGAACAGCTCAGATGTTTCAGAAACTAATGAGTAATCATCGACAGTCAGGACCACGAACTATTATTAATGAATTAGGGCAAGTTATAACCAGTGATAACCAAATAGCAAACTTATTCAACAGATACTTCTCAGCTAACTACACAGTCGAAGATGGGACGATCCCCCAACCGACCGAGATGACTGAACGCATCCTTAGTAAGATCCATTTTAGGGAAGAAACTGTTAAAGCAGCCATCAAACAACTATCAAACACCAAATCCTATGGGACAGACAAAATCCCATCATGTATTCTGAAGCATATGACATATGCTCCAATACTCCTATCTAAGTTATTCACCCTACTCCAGTCAAATGCACTTTTTGCGGACATGTGGAAATACTCGACCATTACACCTATCTTTAAAAGCGGCAATCGATCTCATACCCAAAACTATCGTGGTGTTCACCGAACACCGGCTATAGCTAAAATCCTCGAGAAAATAGTATACAACCGATTGCTGAACCATCTCATGAACTCCAACCTCATTCCCTCCTCTCAACATGAATTTTCACCCAAAAAGTCATGTCAGTCCTGCCACCTTACTTTTTTGGAATTCGTTTCCTGCAATAGAGATGATGGAAACACAGTAGCTTCAATATACTTCGATCTAAGAAAGGCCTTTGACAAAGTCCCCCATAAAAGACTACTGATAAAGCCAAAAGGTCATGGAATTAGGCCACCCCTTCTCGATTTTCTTAAATCCTATCTTCAAAACCGATACCAGGTGGTGCAAATTCGAAACGTAGTCTCAGAACCATCCCCTATTACCAGTGGAGTACTTCAAAGCACTATCCTAGGCTCCCTTCTATTTCTTATATATATTCACGACTTATCGTCCATATCTGTCTCAGCTAAGAAGTTTTTGTATGCGGATGATCTTAAAATTGCATATGCATATAACGGGAATACAGTAGCCAATATTCATAGAACAATTGAAACTGATCTCAGAAAACTTAGCGAATGGAGTAGACAGTGGCAGATGTCCTTTTCACCCGAAAAATGCCATCTCCTGATATTTGGCCCACAAAAACTTCCCCCCATAATATTCGAGAATAATGAAATAAAAGAGGCCCAATCGGTAAAAGATTTAGGTCTCAGCTATACAAATACCCTTGGTTTATCTCCCCACGTCCAACAAATATCACCGAAAGCCACTCGCCTGTGTGGATTCATATGTAAGAATTTCACCTTAAATGCACTAGGAATACAATTTTCAAAATGTATGTTTTACCTCTCCTAGATTATTGTTCAGTTTTCTTCGGCATAATGCCCTCAGCCCTAATAGCAAAATGTGCTCTGAATGAGCTCGCACGGAGCTCGTTTTGCGAGGCAGGCGAGCTCTGCTGGAGCTCGGAAATGGTCAGCGAATAGAGCTCATACGGAGCTCGCGAAAACGAGCCCAAAATGAGCTCTGAAAAACGGGCTAGCGAGGTCGTTCCGAGCTTGGCCCGAGCTCCAAAAAACGAGCTCCAGCGCTTACCCAACCAGGGGTCCCCCTCACTTGTGCTGCCCAATTCCCATTAATAACCGCCCTCTTTTCCCGGTAAGGTAAAAATAGGAACACATGTTTGGTGTATCAGAGTTCTATTATAAAAAAATAGTTATGAATAAATGGTGTTTTAATACACTAAAAGAATGTGCCAGTTCCTTTGTGTTCTAATCAGCGCCTCCTTCGATATTTGAGGACCGGTCTAAAAGGGAAAGATGTGGCAGTGGTAAGTAAACATATTAAGATTTATTGTACATAGTAATAGCATCAATATATTAACAGGTACCATTTGTTTGCCTACTTAGCGATGCCCTATGGCACTTTCTTTGATACCGATCGTGGCACTTCTTAAACGCATTCTTAAAAGCATTCTCTAATTGGTGGCGGTCCGAGTGGCGTTCCGTATTCCATCGATGGAAGACATCTGCAATGTGAATGTTTATTAGGTTTAATTGGAAATCCTACCCAGTATCACGGAATACACCGGACTGTCAAAAAAAGCCCGTGTACCCGGTTTTCTTCCGTAGAAAGTAAGGAACTCCGATACGTCCTCAGAAAAAATTGTGAAAAGTAGTCGTTCGGCAAAGGCCGAAACAGTGTCACCCCCCATGGTTGAGAGGTAGGCAACCTGAATTTGGTTATTATTAATAACGAACACTGTTTACCAAATTCCGCCTGTATGACGCGTCCGACACTCGTGTCGTCAGCTCGTCATAACCAGCCAATGTGCAAACTCGTTGCACAATTGGTGTGTCAACGGCTGACGGCAGTGAGTTGGATGCCGCCAGGTGACGAACAACCTCCATAATTGCATCCATCTGGGCTTTTAGTTCTCTTTGCCCAGCCAGTATTTCCTTTATACCGGCTGGCCAGTGAGATCCTTTCTTATGATGCCTATGTCTCCGCTGGGTAACCGATTGTTCATGTCTTCTTCGCTTTTGTTTGGGAGTGCTAGTTGCATGCCCTCCATCTGAAATTTATATAAGTAATAGTCAAACAGAAAACTTACTTGAACGATTAGGAGACTGCCCCTTTGGAATTGTGGAGCTGCTGTCCGTATTGGATTGTGATTCCTAAAAAGAACCTGTTTCGCCATGCTTTGTAATCCTTACCGTCGTTGAGGAAGTAGATGGAAAGGAATTGTCACCTATGTACTCCTGCCCTATATATTTCTTGTTTGGCCGCCCTTCCCTATGCGGACGTTCGCACATAGTTCTCTACAACCCAACGGGAATTTAGTTAGTAAGGTTATGGGCCTAAACTAATCTAAGTCCCACAGATCCCCCGCACCATTTGCGAATCTGTAAATAAGGGACCGTTGGGTTGTAGGATTCGCAGATAGTGACCGCTTAGCGGTGGGATTTCAAGTGAGACACTCAAGAACTTCGAAGAAAGTGTTGAAATGCCGTCGTCGTACGCAATCATCCGTCAGCTGGGAGGCTCACCAACCGCCGCACTGTCCGCTGTGTCCCAACGTCCATTAATTTCAATGAGGACGAATCCCTCCTGCATTGGGAAGCAAGCATACTTCTGCACCGTGCTCGGCAAACGGCAGCTGTGAATATCGCTCCCTAACCTGCACCTGAAAACCTTAATGTTCGAGGAGTCTACGGGATACTCAAAGAAGTCTTCTATGTTAATAAATTCCGAGTAAACTATGTCGATGTCGCCAGATGCATATCGCACTATCCGTGTCGCTTTCAGACCAGCTATCGGATGATGTGTCCGACGACGGCATTTCACCCATCTCTTCGTTGATTCTTCGCATAATTTCTTCTGCTTCCTTAAGTGCTTGGCGCCGTATTTTACGCCTATTAACAGGAGCAAACATTATTGTGAGAAAAATGGGAGCACAGAGAACACCAAGAAGAGTGATATAAGGCAAAGACAGTCAATGGCAGCGTTGACTGGGACACGGCGTGCGCAGTGCAGCGTGAGAAAGCAAAAAGTGGCACCGGCGAGAGCCGGAGGGCTATCGGCCGCCGAGGCTAATCGATAATCAAGTGCAAGTATGCGCGGCCGCTTGCGCCCTTCGCGTCGCCGGCGCTCCCGACCCAGGAACCAATCAAATCACGAGCAGGCTAAAGAGCCACTACCCCCCTAGAGTACGTTAGCTCGCGGCGAGCTCGCTTGCTATTAGGGAGACGGCCGAAAGAAACTAGAAGGCATTCAGAGACGTTTACTGGATTTTTGTCTAGAAGTGATGGTATCCAGAGTTCATACTTAGAACTATATCATAAATACGGTCTTCGACCCCTCTGGACCAGAAGACTTCAAAATGGTCTAAACTTCCTAGTCAAGGTCACCCACGACCAAGATATTCTCAAAATGAATTTACTTACCAACCAAAGCGCCCCTAGAAACACCAGAAATAACGAGGATATTATAAGGATTCCCAAATTCACAAAGTCCCAACGGTCAAATTTCTACTCCATAAGATATGCGACTATCTGGAATTCTAATCCAAGTTCTATCCGGAAAAGTCGAACCCTAATCGAGTTTAAAATAAAAACAAAGAAATTCCTTTCAAATAACAATACACATTTATTTTTGAATAAGATAGGACATTTTTCAAGTCAATTCTTTGATATTGAATTTGGTCCAAAAGGGCTCTGATGATGCCAGCCGCTTGCATAATACCGGACCATAGCACTGAAAATAATCAAATTTATAAAAGATAGCGTCATTGATAGACATAGACCAGATAGTGATATTCCTTCTTTCCTCCCTTTTTCGTTTTCATCAGCTATATATCCCCTGACACTAAATATCCCTTATAAAGCTAATAAAAATATACCCTTCGATAAAACCCTGCATATTAGTCGTGCGTATGTCTACATTAAGGCCATATTAAACATATATAGAACTATATTAGGTCATAGTAAACAGTCGACCACCACCCCTAGTAGCGATAGATATCGAGAAGATATACGTGAATAACGATTTATCGAGTTATGTGTTTCTGTCACGTCATTGGCTACCTCGCTTGTGCAATCTGCCATTTCATTGGTCGCCGTAGTTTAGTTGCATTTCGATTGCGCGCACACGCGTTCGCGCCATTATTTCTCGTCAGCGGCGTGGAACGCGTGACGTGACACTGCTTTCACTTACCTCATATTATTGATTTAAACTGGTTGTCTGCTGTTTCTACCTTTACCATGTTTAGGCAGGAATCCCGGAGAACACGATTACGACGTATTAAGAGGTACGGAGATGAGGAGTTCCGGGAAATCGTGGAGGCTGTGAAACTTAGGCGAAAATCGCAAAGCCGCCCTTTAAGCACGTTATGTGGCGGCCCAGAACAATTACGGCCTATGCCGGAGGACAGGACCACTTCGTCGGCAGAAAGTGCTGTCCTGAGGACGAATGCAGGAGCGTCTTCGGAAGCTGAAAACCGTGAGATCGTAGCCGTTGCCCCGGGCGACATATACGTCAAACGATTGCGTGAATGGGCGCTGGAATTCAAGATTGCACACGCTTCCATAAGAGCCCTGTTGGCTATTTCTAAGCCGATTGTGCCCCAACTGAAATTTAATTTAATTTAACTACTGGCAGACCCCAGAACACTCTTGGGAGCGGCCTATGATCTAAAGGTTGTCCCAATGGGTAGCGGTGAGTATGTGCACTTCGGCTTAGAAAGGCAACTACGTAGACTTATAAGTAAGAATATAGTAAACTCAACTTGCCATATAGAGATTCATTTGGCCATCGATGGTCTCCCAGTATTTAGAAAATCAAACACCGAAATGTGGCAAATGTTAGGCAGAATCTCGCGGCCCATTGTCAGTAACGTTTTTCCAGTTGGCATTTTCTGTGGTACTGGAAAACCGTCAGATGTCCATGCATTCTGTAAGTTAGTAGTTAGTGAGTTAACATAATTAAGCGAACAAGGGATCAACAGCAGCGACAGCGTCGGACTGCAGACCCGCGTTCGCGTCAGCTGTGTTATCTGTGACGCTCCTGCGAGGGCCTTCGTTAAGCAAATCAAGAACGTGAATGCGTATAATGGGTGCAAACGTTGTACAGTAGCGGGTGTTTATATGGGAAAAGTAGTATGCCTAGAGAAAGGAGAGAGGGATAGGACGGATGAGGACTTCTTGCACTCTGTCGAGGACGAACACAGAGTCGGAGTGTCTCCATTCCTCTCTTGCAACGTTGGCCTTATTAACCAATTTCCTCTAGATCCAATGCATCTAATTAACTAGGGTGTAGTGAAATGTTTGCTAAGTTTGTGGGTTAGAAATCATCGTTCAAAGGACAGTGGTCGCACGACGCCTTCGGTACTGAAGGCAGTGCAGGAAAAGGCTATAGACGATAGGTTGCGTTCTTTAAACGCATGCCTTCCATCAGAATTTTCCCAAAAAGCTAGGTGTTTAAGTGAGTTCGAGTCCTGGAAGGCTACAGAGTTTAGACAGTTTGTATTGTATCTAGGTCTTGTTGTTCTACCGGGTATCCTGCCTCTTAATCATTATAAATTGTATTTTATGCTTTTTACTGCCCTTCGATTGCTGGCCTCTCCTAAGACCTGCTACCGAAACGTAGGTTATTGTAGGCAGTTGTTATTACTGTTTACTAGAAGGTTTTCGAGTCTATACGGTGACGAACACATGGTTTACAATGTGCATAGCCCTATGCACATTGCGGACGATGTTGAGCGTCACGGTCCACTGGACTCATCTTCGTTTTTCCCTTTTGAAAGCTATTTAGGCAGATTGAAGAATTTGCTTAGAAGCCCCTCACGGCCTTTACAACAGGTAGCTAGGCGTTTAAGCGAGGAAGAGGTAGCTACGCACGATACTTCAAGGCATCCTTCACCTAGATTCCTTCATGAGCATAATGCAGGACCAAAACCTGCAGGCTATGAAGGCAGTCAGCAATGTAAATGTCTAATCATTGATAGATATCGTATTGACATTACTTCAGGCAATAGGTGCATAGAGATAGATAATCGAATAGTATGTGTTAAAAACATACTATGCGATTCAGATGGATGTATACGTTTAGTCTACCACGAATTTGGCAATATTCCAGACTACTTTGACTATCCTAAGAACTCCTCATTAATGAAAGTTTATAAAGCCAGCTTAGATACCAAGTTACTCTGCTCACCATTGCCGAATGAGTACATTAAGTACGCATGCTTTCCAGAAGATAACCACTACGAATTAATTGAACTTATATAGATAATTAGGGAAGTCACTTACTATCCTTTTGCCTATGCAAACAGTCCTCGTGAACCCTACAAACGCACAGGTATTGTAGCTAGAATAACCTCACTAGTTATTTGTTTGCGAGCACTGCAGGGAAGAAGTGGCCATTACGCTAGCACTTAATTCACCTTATTTCCTGCGCGTTTGTAGATATTATCATGAGCAAAATACCCACTCGTCAACTACCGGCAAGACAAAGAAGGTCTGCGATTGATGAGACGCTCTACCTCCTGGAAGGTGAAGGCATATCATCGCCTGTAAGTTATGCAAAATAACGCTGTTATACCTTTCAGGAGCCGCAGGAGGAGGCCAATGATTCTTTCGAGACGATCCCCTTGGGTAATGAGATACCGACAACAGTGCCTAAGGAGAATGATAATGAAGACATTCTGCTGCTCATGTGTAAGCACATGCGGGCACTGTCTTTGAAAATGGACATCTTGATGGAAACAAATCGCAAAGTCCTAGGACGTCAGCGGCTATTGGAATCGATGATTCAACAGCAAGCTAAAACTGCGGGATAGGTAGCTTCTCAGCTGCCCATGAACCCGCTAGACCACCAAATACGTTCCGGTGCAGAGTTTCGGAACTTAAATTTCCAATTACTGGACAACGTATTCAGAAACCAGCTGCTATGCAAAACATTAAATAAAACCCTATTGCTTTAGACTTCGTTCCTTACATGCCTTGGAGGGCATAATCCAGACGAATTCGTCAAGCGAATATTCTTCGCTATCTTCGACGAGGAAATTAGCTTGTATGTCAATTTCAAGGGCAGAAAGACTAAAGAGCGCCTCAGCGGTTCAAAACTATATGAGGTTATACTTGGTAAGTCTGCGGTTACTTACAACTCTACAGCATGCAGAAGTCTTCGGAGCATGGAATACCGATAGGAGCGTAAAGTTGTCTGACCTGGAGTCAGCAATAACCAAGCGCCTAAAAAGGTCGCTGGATAGCTACGTGCAACGAAAAAAACACGTCACAAGAAAACCGAGATGAGAGTGGTAAATTGATTGCCTTTTATCAAGAACTAATTGTGACTTGTAGACAATATCCCAGGACCATAAAGTGATTCCCCGCCTGCGTGAACAAAGGAATCATAGAAGCGGTTCAGCAAGGCTATCTACATGTTCAGTTATTTTATTTTTAAATATAACTTTTTGACAATAACCGTCTTCAAATTAACTCTGGGTAAACGGGGGTGGGGGCAAAGACAAGAAAAGGAATGGATGGCGGTAGAAAAGGGCATTGGGTTAAGCAAACGATTCCACGCGTAGCATATTACGCCCCCTTTTCGCCAATGGCGTAGTATCTCGATTAATCGATATCTAATAGATATCTATTTTTGCGACAAAATAGATATCCAGTCGATATATCTGTATATCTCGACAAATAGATATCTAATAGATATCTACTCGATATAGTTTGCTACTTGTCTACTCCTATAATTTCACATTAAAAAGAACAATATGATACACGATTCAATAGTATTTTGCCAGTTTTGATTGTAACTTACCATTGAATGCTTCTTACTCCTGATATATATTCATCTTTTCCAGCCCTTAGTCCAGACAACGATGATAAGCCTCCTGAAAAACACGTAGGAACTGTGCGACCGCCCCCTTACAGTTGGCCAGATAGACTGACTCTAACGGCCGAGGACGTCAAGGGTAGCACACACCGGAGAAAGGAAACGCCGAGAAGATATCCTGGCGGAGGTAGACTTGAACAGAACTGTTAACATCTCTCGAAACTCGTTCACACGCAGAAGAAGAGAGTACGTCGAGTATGGATATAGTGTAATGGAACAACTGATATGAAGAATGTATATAACAAATGTTAATGTACACGAGCAACGAGGAACAGCAAATAGATGACCTTTCTGGATGGATAGACGACCCTGCGATACTAGCTAAACAGCCGATGGGGATGCAGCGCTGTGGGCAACTGCAGGGAAAGGCCGGGGGGAGCCGACGTTGAGTAAGAGAGCGAGAGAGAATCGAGAGCGACGGTTCGTTGCGGGAGGGGGGGTCGGCGGTAGCGAGGGGAAGGGACACCGGCCGTCTTCGCCAGCACGCAGTTACGCCATCTCCATCCCAGGTCCGCGCGCCAAAAGTCATATCATTCAAACAACTCTGTCCAAGTCCAGGGGCGTTACATGACAACTATCAACAAGAGCACACCGAAATATATCCAACAGGAAAATAATTTCAAGGTCAGGCCGATATCAAAGTTCTTCAATTGCCATGAAGGACATATTATTCATGCCCCCAAAAACTATCAAACTATTCTATCAGAGATGGGTCGGGTACTGCACGTCACAGTATTTAAGGGTTTTCCTTCGTGTTGGTGTGTCACTGACTTCCGGCGTGCTGCATCTCAAGGCTTGGCGATAGCTGTCATGGCGGCATCTGTTCCTCCTCATCCTTTGTGGGGTGTGGGGAGGGGAGCGGCGTCGGGGTGACCGCGGCCATTGCTCTTGTTTGCATGGTCTGTTGTCCGTTATCCACATATCTCGCCTTCCTGTCCCGTTCGCACCTACCCGTAACCGTGTAGACGGTGGTTGTCACGCCAGTGTTGACGTTGTGCAGGGGGGTTCTGTCACTGTCGGACGTTCTCACCGCGCGCTCGTGTCTGTCTGCGTTCAGACCTAGAAGGCGGTCTCCTGGGTTTACGTTCGCCGCCGGTTGTCCCTTGTTTTCAGTCAGTCAGTCAGTCAGTGTATTTGAGGGAAATAGGCTTACGCCTTTGAACTCCCTATTTGTACATTAAAAAATCGATAAACAAGCAAAAATGTGAAGAGATTACAGCATGAAGTGAATGCATACATTGATTCACATATGTCACTAGTAACATGGCTAAAAAGTCACATAGTCCGCTTGTTGCTGCAGCATATATCTGTCAAGGCGACATTTAAATGTCTCCACAGATTGAGACATAACAACCGTCTCGGGCAGGTTATTCCACGGTTCCGATGCTTGTATATGCCCGTCCGTGTCCCCGCTTGGTCTGGGTTTGACTATTGCCGTCTCTGGCCTGACGCCTCGTCGGTAACCCTGCTTGTTGAACTTCACCCGTAGGGCTTGGTAGGCAGCCGGCAAAGTTACGCAGCGGTTGATTGAGGTAGTTGTGGTGTGTTAGGCTTCGAGCGTCTCCCTAACCGTTTGATCGCTTCCTTGGCCCAAGACTACGGCGTCTTCAAAGGCGAAGGCAGGGCCAAAAGCTGCGCGATTTTCCGCCACCAGCGAGAATTGATCCATCCTTCGTACCGCTCTTGCGTGCTCGTGCAGGCGCGTCTGCAATCTCTTCCCGGTTTCTCCAACGTAGTTTGCTTCGCAGGAGTTACACGGGATCCGATAGACGACGTTGACAGTTTCGCCTCGTGGTAGAGGCGCTTTTGGTCTCATGACCAGACGTCTAATTGTCTATTCGGGTTTGTGGGCGATGCCGATACCCAATAGTCGCAAGATACGAGCAACTGCCTCGGAAACCTTCGCAGTATATGGCAGTGTTAGTCAGACTTTCGGCTGATTTGCCGTTGACTTAATAGTTGGTCTGGACAGTCTGCTGCGTTCTATAAAGCTGTGGGGGTAACCGTTGGAGTTGAACATCCGCCGTAGATAGTGGAGTTCGACTACCTTGTCGGCCGTTTCGCTGCCGTGAGTGTCAACGCTCTTGTAGAGAGATCAAGCACAGCTTCAGTTGTGACACAGCGGGTGATTTGTGTAGTAGGACAGGACTTGGCGAGTGTTAGTGGCCTTCCTGAAGACCGTCGTTTTCTGACTCCCGTTGACCTTGCGATAGACCAGAACGTCTAGAAACGCGATCTGATTGTTGTTCTCTGTCTCCAGTGTGAATTGAACATCGGGAAGAATAGAGTTCAGTAGCGCGTGGAAATTCGAGACCAATTCCCGTTTGAGAACGACGAAAGTTTCGTCCGCATACCGCGCCCAAAATTTTGGCTTGTATGTTGTGAGCACCAACGTCTCCAACCTTTAAAGAACAGCTTCAGCGACGAAACCTGATAGTGGTGAGCCCATCGGCGTGCCTTTGATTTGCTCGTACACAGTCATTTCAAAGGTGAAGAAGGTTTGGAGGCAGTATTTAAGCAGTTGCACTAGATGCCCCCGCTTAGGGGTAATTTTTGCCTCCGTGTAATGGCTGTCGAAGAGGTCATTGACGGTTTCAACTGCCAAATCCTTTGGGATCGAGGTGAACAGCGAGGTTACATCGAACGACACCATGACCTTGTCCGTGTTAATTTGCAGTCCTTTCAGTCTATGCAGGAAATGGCCGGATGAGCGGACCGTCGTATCGGATCCCGAGGTGAGGCAGTTCAGGCGTCCGAACATCCATTGGCGGGGTTGTATGTGGGTGTCCCGCGCAAAGACACGATGGGACCATCTGGTCCATCGCAAGGTCAACGGGAGCCTGAAAACGACGGTCTTCAGGAAGGCCACTAACACTCGCCAATTCCTGTCCTACCACATCAATCACCCGCTGTGTCACAACTGAAGCTGTGTACGATCTCGCTACAAGAGCGTTGACACTCACGGCAGCGAAACGGCCGACAAGGTAGCCGAACTCCACTATCTACAGCGGATGTTCACCTCCAACGGTTACCCCCACAGCTTTATAGAACGCAGCAGACTGTCCAGACCAACCATTAAGCCAACAGCAAATCAGCCGTCTGAGGTAGTTTTTCACAAATCTGACCGGTTATTCGTTGAGCCGGAATAACCGATACAAGAAAGCAAGTACTTTCATAAGTAGATCATCGCTGCTGCAGTAACGATAGGCCCGGTGGAAAAGGATTCGGCACTGGAGTCTTTTCGGTGGACGCTCGTTGCAAGGCTGCCATCACTAAGCGCTTGAATACTAACGTCTAGAAACGGTAAAATGTCTCCTGTTGCCTCCTCGCGAGTAAACTGGATAGCTGGGAAGACGCTATTCAGACTCTGATGCAATTGCTCAATTTCGCAGGTCTTCCTGATAACGAACGTATCGTTTCCTTATCGCACCCACATTTTGGTTTAAAGGTTCGCACAACTTCCACTTCTAGGTGTTGTAGTACCAGTTCAGCTAGTAAATCTGATATTTGCGAGCCCACTTGTGTACGCCTAACCTGCTGATAAGACTTTCCATCGAATTGGCAGTATTTCTTGAGACACAGTCTAAGCATTTCTAAAGCGTGTTGTATTGGAATGACGGTCGGATTATCTTGCAGGCGTCGGTTAACGCTCTCAATCGCCAGGCCTTCTGATATGGATTAATTTAAATGCGATCACTGAATCTTATGTTGCATTTTCAGGGCATTGTAGCAGTAGACCAACGTTCACCATCGGTGACTGTTGTTACTTGTCGCATCAAACCATTCAAAGGGATGACGGCCACTTTAACGTAAAATTCATTCCCGGACATCTTCTTCATTTTTTACTCCGAAGATATCGCGTTGGCATTTACCTTTTGCTGGGGATTATTTGTGTTCATTCATATCTTCGAGGATTTATTCTACGTATCTGTCTATTTTTATTTTCCACTTTCGCATTTTTCAGACATCTTCTGCTATTTTGGGTTTTTCATCTGTTTTTCCGAAATAAATTTCGTTCTGTTGTAATGCTACACATTGTAATTTATCCTTTTCAGGCGTTGCATTTATTAGTAACACGCCACGATATTCCAGTCACGTGGATCTCTTGAGTAGCTTTTAAAGTTTTGCTGGGTTACAGTTTTTCTTACAGGTGTATATACTAAGGTGACCGAATATTTGGCGTTTTCCTGTTACTTGAAATGCATGGTTGAACCGATACACTACTTAATGTGTTTATATATTTCGACTTTGAGGTAGTTGCTGAGTCCGCAATTTGGAAAATGACGCAGTCATTGTGGGATTTAGCCCTCCGACAAAAGCTACTCAAGCAGGGTATTATAGTAGCGGTGTCTCTTTAAACACTTTAGAGAAAAATCGCCCAAATGAGTCAGTGCTTGTCTTTGCCGGAGCAAGATCATGTGTTTGTCTCAATTTTCTTGCTTATATTTCAACATTAGGGAAAAACTACTATTATCAACAATTTCCTCGAGAAGGATGAAAATCCTAAGCCCACTTTAGCCCTCGAATATAATTTTGCCCGGAAGAGTCTGGGTCCCTATGTGGTTTGAGCTTCCATTTCGTCGTTACAAAATATGCGTTAACGCATATTTGTATGTAGGCAAAGTCAGTTGCGCACATATGGGAACTAGGCGGTGGACCCAAACTTTCAAATTTGCTGGATGTAACAGTCACCAAGGACAGTATCGAGTAATATCCATCTTCAACGCCTTATTTGTTATCAGAACGTTATGTTATATTGTAGTTGTTGATTTATCGTCTCCTAAGGAACTTTGGGTCAATTTAATGCATTTCTTGTCTACATATGAAGCGAGGATAGTGCAGGTGCTCGAGCGGATATCAATGAAGTCAAAAGAAAATTTCCGTCATAAGATTATTGCGAAAGCGCAGGCGCGTGTCGATGAAAAGCACACAGACAGAGAACTAATGAATATTTTCCCAGTTTCACTAGTAATTATAGGAAGTAAATATGATGAATTTCTGGTAACTCGCTGTCTTAATTTACTTTAAAAGAAATTAAGGGACGATGATCGGAAGTTTATTTCTCAGTGCTTACGATTTGTGGCGCATTACCATGGAGCTGCTTTGTTCGTATGTGCTCTTGTACCTTTGTCACGTTCAGTTTACCAGTACATCTGATCCGACTGCGAAAAAAAGGATTGGAAGTTATCTCAGTCATATCGCTTTCGGAACTCCAAATGTCGTTATTCCTCCAATAATCCAAGATAAACCATTGCATATTCTCCCTGGACAGGATTCCTTTTCATTAATCGGTAGGTCTGTTCTTATAGAAGTCTGTCCGATGAGAATTAACGCATTACTCAATGATACACTTACTTTTCCTTTATTTTTTTCCTTTTTTAAACCGTGGTGAACTACTTACACTTTTAAAGAGCATGCAACTAGTGTAATTTTTATTGAGAAGGTTTTTTGATCTAAGTGCACCTAAATGCACATTTAAGTTTCTTTTTTTATTCAAGAATACTTCGCTAAAAGGTAGTTTGAATTTCTCCTTCGTATTAATGTTTCTTTAGTCTCTGTTTATCAAATAAACATAAGTTATATATCTCGCGCTCTGATACTCTCTCTTGTTAAAGGCCTTCCTCCACTCGACAACGAATTGCGGAAGGGATCTGAAAAGTCACCGCTTACGTTCTGGCAGTCTGCTTTCTGTCAAAAATACCCACAGGTACTTTGGTCACTTTTTAATAACCTTGTCCTTGAAACCGCGTTAGTTTGGGTAAAGGAATTTTCCATCAGTTTTATTTCGCATATCAGTGTAATTCCGGTAAGCCCGTATGTTTTTTTTCATGTTCGAAAATCAGTAGGACTATCGTCCTGTCATTCGATTTATATGAGTTGTTTCCCAAAAAATGCCGAATCGTACTTAAAGAATCTATACGATTTCGATAATAGGGACCCTTTACATATCAAATCCCAAGGTTTTGGACGGTTCTTAGTTAATCATTTACTTTGCTTGGAAAATGCAATGTGAAAGTTAAAGTTCGTTAGCTAGAATATAAAAGTTTTCATGTTCTAGCTAACGAAATTTAACTTCCGCATTGCAACTGTTACTGAAAACCTAAAAACCAAGGTTTTTAGGTTTTCAGTAACATTTGCATTTGAGGCCACTGAAAGACCGTCAAATGCATACTCTTAACTCACGAGTGCAACAACTGTCCTCATGCAAAGGTTTATTTCAGTTTCAGTTTAACTGCGAGTCCGTACTACTTATAAGTCTTGCACTACTCTGGTCAGTTTGCTTATACAATCAGCAAAACGTATACAAAAATGAGTGACTTAGTTTCTAAACGCACATTGTTTTTAGCAAGCACAAGTAATGTTCGTGAAGTCTAGCTTTTTAGGAGTGTATTAAATGCCTGAAATTTTTGAATTTGGGGTGGCATAATCGTACCCCTCGAGAAGGAGCTGATGACTGAGAAAGGTGTAGCACTTCTGGGCCTACGAGTGATTTTTTTACATGCACATCTGTTTAATTACTTGAATTTAAGGACAAAAATGTTAATTCTGTATTTAAATGACCTGCATTTTCTTGTCTAGGTTACACTGCAAACTCCAAACGAATCTGGTTTTAATGCTAAATATGACCCGGCACTAAGTAAACAGTTTGCTGAGCCACAGGTGGACAACGTTCGGCAAGCGAAGGACGAAGAATTAGAGCGCTATCGACGGCAGTCCGAGAGAAGTATGCGAGAGCAACTCAAACAGGCGGCAGCAGATGGTCTTATTTTTGTATGAACCTATGTGTCTCTTACTGATGCTACTTGTTAACTCTTACTGTAACGTTTCTATAATGTTTCGGATGGCATATCTGACTGTTTTAAGGAATTCAGCTTTGTCACACGGATATATTGGGTCCTTGTTGTTTTGTTCGAATTGAATTCTCCTTAGGAGTCCATGAATTTCGACCTTTCACTTCTTTGTAGAGCGAGACTCCCACTTCTTTCAAAAGGAAAATATGATAAATCTTCTAATGTCGGATAGAGCCTGAAGTAATAAAAGTGGGACTGGTAAAGTTCTTTATGTATTTGTGTGATTTTTTACACTTTTACAGGAGTCTAAAGACAGCCGAATCGCAAACGACATTGCACGTTCAACCTAATCAGTGACTAGCTTTAGACCACTTAGGACAGTGTTGTGCATCTCTGTATACGATATAGGGTGTGATATTGTGTGTGGGAAATTTTGATTACAGTTTATAGTTCCAGTCACTTAACTGACCAGCTTGCTCCCTGCTCAAGAAATCCCCCTCCCGTCTGGAATTTCAAGGGCGTGACCTGTCGCAGGGGTTGCAAAGTTATGCTGGGTTAGTTCGTTACCGTCGACTGTCTAGTTGGTGTCTGTCTGTTTGTGGTCTTACTTCTCTCTAATCAAGCCTATATAACTATATGATTCTTGATTTCTCTAACGCTGCTGCAGCACATGGTGTTTACTCAAAATTACATAATCTGAACACATACTTCAGTCTCAAAACCAGACATGGTGTTTGGCCTATCATTCTGTCTATTTAGTTGTCCTTAGAGTAGCCTCCATTTACTGTCACTGAAGGAGAACCTGTCGCATCAGCATAAATGTTTTTCAATCTCATTCAGCCCGTCGCATCCGGGTCAGTACGGCATCCTTTCTACCTCATGTACTCTCACAAATTCTTCCCATAACTGACTGCGAAATGCCGCTGAAATTTGAGTGATTTCTCAGTGTCTTCCAGGCAACAAAGTAGTGATTGGGGGTAGACTGTCAGCCGAAGTCCGCAGGAACTGTCTTTATGTGATGACTTGGGTGATTTAAGAAGATATTTTGGCAAATGTGACACACAATCTGATCAGCAAAATGGAAGATATATTGGTTCGTTTTTTAGGACAGAAGTTGCGTAATTTCGCAACGACATAGTCATTAAATTAGTCCACATGGTCATAGAGACCCTTGTGAGTACCCGCCCAACCTACAGCAACATTTGGAATCCACCAGCTGTTGATTTTGCCCCCCTGAGGCCGTATAAATTAAATACTATCCCACGACCAATCTTAGAACATGTACTTTGTTTTCACTTGGGGATAGTTATCCGTTCACACAAACTTATCGCTGCCTCTGAATTGTCCAGCCGATGTGCCCTGTAGGTGGGCATGGAGGCTGACGGCATGCCCTCTAAATCAATGTACCCTAAGTCTGAGCTTACAGTGAACGGCACAAGCATTTCATCGCAAAACGCTGTAATTCGGTCAGATTATGTCCTCTCGCCACTCCTATGTAACTGCCCAATAGAATAAATTACGTCCATGACACTCCATAACGGTGAGGACGTTCGGATGGGACAGTACCACCTTATTTTAGACCTTGATTATTCTGACTGTGTCACACGTCTTGAAATTTGTTTGAATAGATGTATCCCGTCTTTGTTTTAATAGCCCTGTTACCCCATATACATTCGGTCTCAAACGGAATTCCGGGAAGATCAACATTTGCCTCGATGGTTTCGTGTAGCAGTGAAACGGAATTTGTTTTAATAACCTCTCCCCATAGCGAGGGTTTCATACCACGGAAAAGCTCCTGGACAAGCTCGGAACTTGCTCGCGAATAAGCTGTTTTGCCACATAAGCATATCGAGAAAAGATGAATCTTACTCTTTACTTTCTTTCCATGAGGGCTAGGTCTGAGAAGAGGTTCACTTCATAATCTTGATTTCTGACAAACTTTTCATAGAAGTAATAATTCTACTTGACAGGTCTATTTTGGCTGAAGATTTCGAGGTCAAAAAACTGGAAGTACAGTGGAGTCGTAGTCATCTGAATCCACTGGGGACCTGGCGATGGAAACTCCTCATCTACTCCCACATCATTATGAAATGACTTTTTGAGGAAATCTCGTTGATTTGATTCTGGCATTTACTTACCATTTTCGGTGTATGATGCGAAACGCATAGTCACTGTAGAGCGAGTTTAACGTTGAATTTTAGGGGGTTATCGGTCGTAAAGTGCCACTTTAAAGTAGCCGGTAATCATGGATCTGCTTAAGCTCTTAAGACTTCTTCTTAGGTTCTGGATAGTGACGGAAACTGTCCATTCAGGCGATACAACCACTCGATGTGGGACTTCGTTTTTAAGGTCATTTTCTGTTTTGTAGATATTTTTCCAGGTCGATGGACATTCCTCTGAACTCCAACTTATGTATCCCTCGACCAATTAAAATCAGGGAACAATGGCAAATAAATAATAGACAAAACAATTCCCAAAATATGTTCAAACCCGGGCAAAGGAGTACAAAAATTGTTTTCAACGATTTTGCTCGCTTTCTCATTTGAAGACCTCGTCTGTAACTCTTCAACACATTCTCCACACACTTCTACTTCTGACAAGCAGTCTATCGGAAGCCAGTTCAGTCGTCATAAATCTTAGGGCACTGTTACGTGACATGTGATTTTTTTAGATTCCTTCATATCTATGATGTTCTCCGACAAAGTTGTCTTCTATTCATACTCACCTTTCCTTGGCCTTGAGCTGAATGGAAAATTAAGAAGGAAACAAATCTAATTCACTGTTTTGGGGTACTTTATACTCCGAAAATTCGATCGTAGTACCTGCATTTTTGCATTATGACGGCGCAACTATTTTATTGGAAGACTTCGATACACCTAATTATTTGTACTTTCTATTTTTAAGTAACTTTCATTTATAATTGTAATTTTACAGATCAGATTCTTCAAGAGAAGACAGTGATACGCTTTAGTCTGGAGGTATCATTCCAAAATTTTCAGTAAAAAGCCTCCATTCACAGTGGGCAAAATGCGCACGCAAAACAGAAAACAACAGAAGATCACAAACGATAATTGCCGGAAAATGCAACTGTCGGCATCATTAAGTCGTCGGTGAATGAGCTGCAAAATTCGCGTCGAGTTTGACTTCCTTCACAACGATGCTGGCGCAGTGTGCAGAAGACCTCATTGTTGTACGTCAGATAAACAAAAAGGGAAAAATCAGTATATAATGAGTGAAATAGCTCAACGGACGTACATCAAAGGGAATGCCCATGTGATTGAGGAGCAGAAAAATGGCGGCTCAAATTCCAAAGGTCGCTGAAAATTATATTCGCTGTTAGAATGGCATTACCGACAAAGACAAGGGAGACTGGAATGGCCACTTCAGACTTATTTGCCGTCGTCAGCCAGTCATACCCAACCCCGAAATGTGGAACAGTTGGGGCTCGTCCCCGCGACCTGTTAGTTGGAAGTCCAACGCCTCTATCCACTGAGTCACGGGCTCGTTGCCCTTTCGGTTGCGATCGGTAATATGCAATGGTAGAGGACGGCACTCACCGATCGTTTCAACGGAACTCACTCGTTCCGTTGTGCCTTAGGACTCATTCTGGAGCCCAAACAGCAACCACACAGCGGCGCTTGGGACGATCGCAACCGACAGGACAATGAGCCCGTGGTTCACTGGTTAGGGATGTTGGACTTCTAATCAACAGGTCGCTAGATCGAACTCCAGGTATTCTACGCGTCATGAATGGGCATAACTGGCTGACGATGGCTAATGAGCTAGAAACGGCCATTCCCGTCTCCCTTGTCCTTTTCGGTAATTTTCCTCTGCCTATATTTTGCGCCGCTATACGGCTGCTAACTGGACTCGAGAGAACTCCAAGGCACAACTGGACGAGTGAGTTCCGTAAAAACGACCGGCCAACGCTCCTCCAGCTTTCGCTGTTACCTGAGATTATTGGCTCTTAACCTCTTCCGAAGACTACTCGAGAGATTTCAGCCCACTATCGGAATCTTTTCACAAGTCTCGTGATGCATTCTCTCCCCAGACCTATTCTAACAATTCATAGGTATTTTGGCAAATTTTGAATAATTCATATTGACCCAACTGTGAAAAACTCGGCGCCTCGGTGGGATTCGAACCCACGCAGTAAGGAGAAGGCTTTAGTACAGCCAACGCTCTAACCACTTGAGCTACGAGGCCCCGCCGGACGACTCGATTTTAATCACATTTGGGTCAAGTTTACCCGCCCAACCTACTGTAACGTCTGGAATCCACCAAATCTGATACAGTAAGTTGACTGCTCAAGCAGGATTTCCTAAGTCATTCACCTAGAATCCACCAAATGACTACCAGGCTTACGTAATTCATAGGTATTTTGACAGATTCTAGGTGAATTACTTAGGAAATCCTGCTTGGGCAGTCAACTTACTGTATCAGATTTGGTGGATTCCAGACGTTACAGTAGGTTGGGCAGGTAAACTTGACCCAAATGTGATTAAAATCGAGTCGTCCGGCGGGGCCTCGTAGCTCAATTGGTTAGAGCGTTGGCTGTACTAAAGCCTTCTCTTACTGCGTGAGTTCGAATCCCACCGAGGCGCCGAGTTTTTCACAGTTGGGCAACATGAATTATTCTAACAGTGTTATTTCCCTTATCGCTGGAGATTTGGACCATCATTCTCCGAGGTGGACTTGATAGAGTATTTGGCTTGCAGTTGTTTTTATAGAAATCGACTTGCGCTTCACCTACGAAACTCACTCCTCCCATACTACAATGTTCCACTGATAAAGTTGAAGTTAGACTATCGGGGATGGACATGGACGTTGTGTCCATCTATGTTTGTCACTCATAATCTGATTCTTTACATACACCAGGCGTCAGCAGGGGCCTTTTCGAGTCACGTGTTAGTTTGAGCGCCATAAAGACCACAGTAATGAGACACTACAGTTTGTTCCGCGTTTCAAAGAAAGACCAAATCGCAA